AAAGAACCCAACACAGAAACAAAACATTGTACCTGCTTCAAAGCGCCTTTTCTTCTTTTCTGCGCAACGGTCTTGGTTGCATTCCTTCACAGGTCGTCTGCATGCACAACAATGGTGTGGTGCATGCTTTGTCCCCCTCTTCAGCCGCGGCTCCTCCATGCTGAGTACAATAGAATTATTTATTTTATTTTATCAAAGGCTGGCGCAACACTGTCGTTTTTCGTTTTTCAGCCTGGTGCGGAAGTTGCCTGCCTTGCCTTGTCATCACTTACCTTGTATGTCCTTGGGGGTCACCGCCCACAAGGCAACCGTTGGTGGGTCCGCCCCCAAGGTTAAGACTTATGTACGGATTTCCCATCCGCACGTCGGATTGCAATTTTGCCGAAATGTGCATTTTTAAGGTCTTTTCTTGCATTTTCTACACATTTTCCGTTCATATTTCTCAGATTTTGTGCATTGAACTGGTTGAAGTGTACTGATGACACCAGTCTGTTTCTGGAGGGTGTGCAGATACTGGTATCACAGCCCTGACAATCTGTACATGCTGCCAGATAGTTAGTGAAAAAGAGTCACTGACCCTTTTTTGTAAACACTTGGTTCAAGGATACTGGCAATGATGGCATGGCACTTTTGACATTGATGGACATGAAACAAGAGTGCAGTGTTGGTGGTGATGAGTGAGCAGAGGGAGGATGATGGCTCTGGACTGGAAGTGATCTTGTGGACCTCCTCCTGTTTCACAGAGCACAGAACAGCAGGTAGCCAAGAGTTTTTTTCTTTTTTTTTCTTGTTAAGCCACAAGGAAACGGCAAAAGAAATTGAACTACTTTCTGGCCTCGGGACGAGAAGGAGGACCCTACCAAAATCCGCTACTTAGGGTGCGCACTCATCTGGCCACACAGTCTTGCGATCCTTTTCTACTGTGCGCTGCGCATCATCTTGATATACAGAATAACAGATTTTTTTTCGATTATCATTCATTTGGCAGATCGGAACAGGATATTGACAGAGGAGCAACAACACATAAATGGAACCGCACAACCACGGTGGCGCCGAGTTCCTGTCCTCCTCGCCCAACTGGTCTTCGATGGCTTCCCCAAAATGGGGATTCCTGTCATCCGCAGCCGCGGCCAGCCTGCGATCGCCCTGGGGCGACGCTGGGCTCGGCACAGGCGGCGACAACGATGGTGAGGGCGAGTATGGGGATGAGGCGCGACGAGGATGGGGAGATGGAACTATAGAACGAGAGGGAAGCTTCAATGGCGCACCGAGATTAAAGGCGGAGGAATTCGAGCGACGATGGGTGCCCCCAGCAGTGACATCGCTCCTACAGGCGCTGGGCGGACCCGCAGCCCCATCCCGAACAGAAGCGCTCGAACAGCTGCGCCAGCTCCTCCTGCGCACGACGAGGGAACACGCACGGCAAGCGACGCAGCCGCACCTCGCCACCTTCACCATCCTCGCCAACGAATCGCCATTTGGCGAAATCAGGAAAGATTTCACTCAATTTCTCTCATTTCTGGACCAGGTACGCCCCTCTACTTGATCTTCCTGTCTTCCTCATTCCTTTTCATCTTTCCTCGTTGAGTGAGTGGTCTGATCTTTGTTGGCATGCGCTGCTGCACAGGAGCTGGGGCTGAAGCCGCCCGCGTCACAGAACCGCATCTCCTACTTCGTGTCCAACATCGACATCACGCCCCTCGAGCCCGAAGATCCGCACACGCGACGCCTCTTCTGTAACATATTCATGCAAACGGGCAAACGTACGCTGACTCTCCACACGACACACACACGACACACACACACGACACACACAACGGCGAAGGAGTACTGGCTCTCATCTCCAACCACCTACAAAACAGTCACGCGTCTGGTGCGCATCCTGGGCTGGCACTCAACCGTACGCTCACCTTCCCTCACCTCGTGTGTCGTGTGTGTCGTGTGTGTCGTGTGCGTTATGAAAGAGACAGCTAACGCGGTGGTGTGTCCTATGTTTTTTATATGTGACAGTACTTGGACAGGTATTTCCAGACGATGAGCCTGGTGATGCGGGCGAGCGGGCCGCTGCCGCTGCACATGCGGAACTACATCGCGATCGTGGCGGCGAGCCAGTACCGGTGCCCGTACCTGGTGGCCCAGCAGGAGCAGGAGTTCCTCAACAACGGCGGCGAGGCCACGTGGCTCAAGGGCATCGACCACGTGCCCAAGAAGATCTCCCACCTGCTCGAGATCAACGCCATCCTCGCCCACGAGCCGTGGAAGATCACCCGCGACCACATCGCCGTCGTCGTCAAGGGCACCGACGCCTGGTCCATCGGCGAACTGGTCCACGGCCTCGTCATCATGGCCACCTTCCGCTCCCTCGCCGGCATCGTCTTTGGCTGCGGCATCGCGCCCGAGGCCGACCTGGCCCTGCCCGACGTCGACCCCACCACCACCCACGACCACGGCGCCGGCGCCGGCTTCTTCGCCGCCTCGGCCGCGGCCACGACTGGCGGCGACTATGCGAGGTCGCCGCGGTCGCGCCGGCCGACGACGGGCGTGGCGGTCAACCCGATGCACGAGACCGTCAAGATCCTGCAGGCGCTCAAGGAGGCCTCGCCGTCGCCCGAGCCCGAGCCGCCGCTCCACACCAAGCGCATCGTCTTTGAGAACGCCGGCAGCGAGGACCCGCTCGGCAGCGACGACGACGACGACGACGACAATGACGACGACGAGGGCCTCGCCGATGTCGGCGGCGGCGGCGGCGGCAGTGGCGGTGGTGGTGGTGGCAGCGGCAGTGGAATTCGAGCAACGCGCGCGGGGAAGCTGAGCCGCTACATCGGACCCTACAGGCGCACGCACGCCGACTTTGACGTGCACGCGCGGGACTATAGCGTGTTCCGGGTGCAGGACTACAGCTGGAAGGAGCACGGCTACGCGCTCGTGTCGCGGTTCTACGAGGACGCGGCGCCGCTGCTCGATGACCAGTTCGACCACATCTACTACATGACCTACCACACCATCTCCTCGCACACCGACGTCGACACTGCGCCCTTCCGCGAGTCCATCTGGTACTACGTCCACCGGATACACGGCCTCCTCCACGAAGACTACGACTACCGCAACGTACCTTGCTTTTCCCTTCTTCTGTGTGTGTCGTGCGGTGTGTGCGTGTGTCGTGTGGTGTGTGCTGACGTGTGTGTCGTGTCACGTGTAGGTGAACACGTACATGAACCGAGCGATAAAGCACTTTGTGAAGAAGGTGGCGTGCTTCCCGGACCGCATCATCAGGAACGACTTTGAGAACATCGGGGTGGACCTGCGCCCCGAGGAGAAATGCCACGTCGCCCTCCTCGCCGCAGAAGCGCGCAAGCAGGCCGAACTCCTCTACGGCCTCCACGTCGTCATGCAGTACATGACCTGATCGATCTACTTCTTCTCCATCTCATCGTATCGACCCCCATAAAAAAAGAGAGAGAGCGCTGCTTCAAAAGTGAAACAGAACAACAACGTGTGAAAGAAGAACTTTCTTTCTTCACCATCCTTGCTCGTGTGTGCGTGCGTGTCGTGTCGTGTCGTGTGCGTTTTTACAAATCAACAACGTCATCGTCGCCAAAGACTCCAAAATGGTGACGACGATCAGGGCAGGACGATGAGGGGCGAGTTGCTGTTGGATTCGGAGCCGCTACCCCCGTGGTGGTCGGCCAGGTAGGCCGGCGTCTGCCGCGGGTTGACCTCCGTGTCGCTGCCGCCTGTCGAGGCCCTGCGCTCGCCCGGGAACACGCCCGCTCCCTTGGCCGCCTTCACCTTGCCCTGCCGCGCGCCCCAGTAAGCAACACCGCACACGACACACGACACACGAAGAGTCGGGCACCTTGGCGGCCAGTCCGGCGCCTTCCGTGTGCTTGGCGGGCCGCTTTACTTTGGCGTTGCGAGTGACGCTTGAGTGGTGGGTGCTGTAGCTCTGCGGCTTACGCAGCTCCGTGTGCGTGAACGACACCGACGACTTGACGTCCGGCGCCGCCTCGCTGAGGGCGGGGTTGGTGGCCAGGCCCATTTCCTCGTCCTGCGCGGGCGCCGCCTCCGCGTCGAACGTGTCCTGGTTGATGCTGAGCTCCTGTACACACCGCACACACCGCACACACACGCGTGTGAGTCGAGGAGCGCAAAGCCGAGGTTGGCGGTGCGCCAAAGGGAGGGCGTACGGCGAACTGGGCGTGGAGCTTGGCGTGGGCCTCGGCTCGCTTCTTGGCCGGGATGTGCTCCACGGTCTGGATCTTGCCGTCGCGCATCCAGATCACGCGGTCGGCGAAGGGCTTGTGCGCCAGCTCGTGGGTCACCATCACCAGCGTCAGCTTGTCCTGTGGTGCGACACGTCAGCAACACGACACACGACACACGACAACAACGGTGCGTGCCTTGACGTGGAGGTCGGTGAGGAGCTTCATGGCAATGACGGTGTTGACGGTGTCCAGGTCGCCCGTGGGCTCGTCCAGCAGGAGGATGTCGGGCTCGTTCGCGATTGAGCGCGCGATCGTGACGCGCTGCTGCTCGCCGCCTGCACCACCGCCACCGCCATCACCACCGTTAGGCCTGTTTTGTGTTTTGTGTTTTGTTTTTTGTTTTGTTTTGTGTTTTGGGTACCGGAGAGCTGGGAGGGGAGGTGGTCGAGCCGCTTGCCCATCCCGACCCTGGTCAGCAGCTGGATCGCCCGCTGCCTGCGCTCGGCGCGATTGTACTTTCCTGCTCGGCGTCACATGTCAGCACGACACGCACGACACGCACGACACACACACACACGACACACAGGCCGGGCGTGTACCGGCGAGGATCATGGGCAGCATGACGTTCTCCAGGGCGGTGAGCGAGGAGAGCAGGTTGAACGTCTGGAACACGAAGCCCCTGTACAGAGCGCCCACAATCAGCACATCAGCACATCAGCACCCTACAAATTGTGTGTGTCGTGTGTGTGTCGTGTGTGTGTGTGGTGCGTGCCGCACGCACAGTGAAAGGAATGGAGAGAATGTGTGCGTACAATCGGGAGCGACGGATCTCGGAGAGCTCGGTGTCGGTCGTGGAGCGGGAGATGCCTGGAGCCGGGTTAGCAGGCGCACGCGGTCAGGAACACGCTTGCAAACACACCGCACATCGCACACCGCACACACACGCGCGCGTGCAATGGTGCAAAGTAAAGGTGGGGAGGTGGTACGAGTGTTGCAGATGCGCATGTTGCCCTTGGTGGGCTTGTCGATGGTGCCCATGATGTTCAACAGCGACGTCTTACCACCTGAGCCAGATAACAATGTTATAATTCCAATTAATAAATAAAAATCTCAACAAATAATAACAAATACAAATACAAATACAAAGAAACATGTACTCAGAATAAAAAAGGATAAATAAATAAATAAAAGATTGGCGATCGAGTAGAAGGAGGTGGGTACCGCCGCTGGTGCCGTAGATGATGAGGAATTCGCCACGACGCACGCTCATGGACACGCCACGCAGAGCTGGCACGCCCTCCACGCCCAGCAGGTAGGTCTTGTGGATGTTGTTCATGGTGATGACCAGCGCGTCGTCCTCGCGCTCGTATTCGTCGAGCTTCACGAGCGCTGTGACGTTGCTCCCGCCGTAGTACTGGTCTTCGCTCCAGTCCTTGTGGGCCTCCTTCATCACTCGCATGTCATCTTGCTCCTCTCCTCCTTGGGTGTGCCCTTCACCATCATCACCATCGTCATCTTCATCTTCGTCGTGCCTCGCTTCACGAGAAGGTATTACGTCCTCATCGTCGTTTGAGATGGCAGCATTGAAGAACCCTCGCTGCCTCTCCTTGGCAAACGTTTCCAGTTCCATTTGTTGTGAAGAAGAAGAAAGAAAAAAGATCTGTGTGCCCAGAAAAAAAGAAGAGAAGCGTTCTTTGTGATGATCAGATGTGTCTCAGTCAAGAGCTGCGCGCTGAGCCCAATCCGAAGTCCCTCAAAGTGGCTTCTCTTCTTCCTCGCGGTTGCGATGAGTGAGTGAGGATGACGCGAGATGGAAGCGCAACCTCACGCGAGAAATGCCCCTATCGGAGTTTTTATTTGTGCTAAACTCCCCTTTTCTCATTGCGCGGGTTCAAGTCCCGCACCAACCATCAACAAAACAACGGCAACAAAATCTTTGTGCGATGGTGCGTGATGATGATGTTGCGCACATGGAGGAACGTCGAGGCGATTGCGAAGGGGCGATTGAGTAGTGTTTAGATTTTGTTTTTTGTTTTAATTACCCCACGTTCCCGCTATTACCACAGATGTTATTTACTCGTTGGCCTCGTTGTCGCCGGCCTTCTCCTCCTCCTTGTCATCGTTGTCACCATCGCCCTGCATGTCGCTCGTCCAGAGGGTAAGGTTGTCCCTGAGGAGCTGCATGATGAGCGTGGAATCCTTGTACGAGTCCTCCGAGAGGGTGTCGAGCTCGGCGATGGCATCATCGAAAGCCTGCTTGGCGAGCTGGCAAGCCTTGTCGGGCGAGTTCAGGATCTCGTAGTGGAAGACGGAGAAGTTGAGGGCAAGACCGAGGCGGATGGGGTGGGTGGGAGGGAGCTCCGTCACGGCGATGTCCGAGGCGGACTTGTAGGCCTGGAGCGAAGCATCGGCAGCCTCCTTGCGGCCGTCGCCCTGGGCGTACTCGGCCATGTAGCGGTGGTAGTCACCCTTCATCTTGTAGTAGAAGACCTTGGACTCACCTACACGATTCAATCAAGGAGTGGGTGAGCGGAGTACTCCGGCAAAGTCGATCGCTAAATGCCAGCAGTGAGGGTCTTGAGAAGTGATCAAAAAACGTACCGTTGGAGGAAGAGGGGATGAGGTGATCGTCGAGGACGGCGAGGATGTCCTTGCAGATGCCGGAGAGCTCGTTCTCGACCTTCCTGCGGTACTCCTTGATCATCTTGACGTGCTCCTCGTTGCCCTTGGTCTCCTCCTTCTGCTCGATGGAGGAGATAATCCTCCACGAAGCGCGGCGGGCACCGATGACGTTCTTGTAGGCCACGGAGAGCAGGTTCCTCTCCTCGACGGTGAGCTCAACGTCGGTGGTGGCGACCTTCTTCATGGCCTCGACCATCTCGTCGTACCTCTCGGCCTGCTCAGACAGCTTGGCCATGTAGACATTCTCCTCGCGCTCGCTCGACATGT